AACTATAAAGTAAACAGGACTGTGATCCTAAAGCTGCTGCAAGATATCACCGATTCTGCACTGTCGTATTAGTACAGTAAAACACGAATAAAGTTTCTCTTTTGTTGAAAAGTTCCTGAGGTTCACGAGAGTTCAAGTCTGTCGTGAAGCTACAGGAATACGTCATATTCTATCTGGATATATTCAGCTCAGTGTCAGGGTGGGAATGAGTAATTGCCTTTTCAACATATTTAACTATTTCTGTAAAGATGATCGTCAGTGAAGTTATTTGTAGTTTTTGTGGTTGCCATGGCATGGCTCTTTCTCCAACACTGTAATATACTGAGAGAGCAGGAAGAAAGGAGAGGCAACAGCAGGTTGTAACTGCAAATGTAAAAAGCAAATTAGAGCTTCTTGTTGGCAACATGAAATGCAAATTAAGACTTTATGTGCAGGTGCAACTGTTTTCATCTAATCTATAAATAAACTGCTCCAACGTGATGGATGACAAATAATAATCAAGGGAATATCTTGTGGCTGCAGAGTAAATGCAAAACACTGCAGTTGCTCCTGTGGCCACTTGAGGAGTGTTAGTCTCCAAGACTACATCTGCAGCTTCATACAAAAAAGTAGATATTTTGACCCTTTAAAACAAAAAACTCACCCACTGGGATTTTATTATGTTTTAAATTAGCTAACAAATAAATGGCTTGCTGTGTGATGTATTGCACTAAATGCCTTTGCAACAAGACAAATTCTACTCTTTTATTAATGCGTTGTTTCACACCAATCCAACTCAGCAGGTTTAAGTATCTACACCCCATACCTGCACAGTCAGTGAATGCATCAGCTAATACCTTAGCATTTTTATTCATTTATAGCCACTATTACAAAAACACCACAGCGATGGCCAGAATACTAAAACATGGCTCCATGAACCACTGGGAGACGTGCTTTTTTTTTTAAACTATGAGTCATGCAAAGCTACACTAGAAGCTCTCATTTGAGTCCAGGAATTAAAATATTTTAAATAAAGCTACATCTACTTAAAATCAAATGTATTTAGGACCCACCCATCCACCCTGACCTCGTCTGGTTGTGAATTTGCATTGTCATAATTAATCCCGCAAGAAAGCTTTGTTACTTTAAAGGACACCATGTTGCCATGGGTACGAGTAAAATGGCTCATGCTGTTGATGTGCTTGGGAGGTCAGTCTTGCGATGAGACCACGCTTTGTTAGAGTCGTCTAATGGTATTTGCTAGTAAAAACACACATCTTTTCAGTCGTACATGGAAATTAACTCACTTAGCTGTCTCTGTTAGCAAGAGTACAGCTGAATTAATTAAAAATGTTGAGGTTGGCTGCCGCTGGCTTTGAGTTTTCATTGATTAAACCCATGCTATTTGACATACGAGCCACAGAGGCCCCTTTCACACTGACTGCATTTAATTTTAGAATATGTCCCTGCGTTGTACTCAGCCAACCCAGCTCATTTATTAGGGGGAAATTAAATGCAGTGCACAGAGTACTGTACTGAAAGTGTCCAACAGAGATTATCTGTATTCAGTTGCCCTAGTGCTACATTTTAAATTAATATGGAACATTATGCAGTATATCTGTTGAAGTTAAAATATGATGGATATATTGTGCTCCAAGGAGTTCAAAATGACACATTGCACAAGCAGGATGGGGTCAAAATCAGCCTTTGGGAGTGATTATATATGTAAGGCTGATATAGTTAAAGCTAAGAGTCTACACAGCAGACATATTATAAACAAAAACATATTTTCAGCTTAAATGAATCAAAGGTTATTAAAAAGAAACATAGTGCTGGTGATTTTTCTCTGGTGAAAGGTCAAAATGCCTTTTCGGACACCATCATTTTTTAGATGTAGGAACAACGCAGCTGTAAAATGCTGATCGAGGTCTAGACTAAAATCTACTGACATCTGGTACAGATTATGTTGTTGTTGTTCTGCAACTGCTTTTGGAGATCCCAGTGATGCTGAAATATTTTTTGTTTTGAACAAAGTACCTGACCATAAGTGCTTTTAGATTTAAATCTAAACACTAAAACATACACAAAACCTATTGTGTTTAGCACTAATCAAAATTAGTCAATTTTCTACGTGCTGAACTAAATAGTAAACAATGTCCAGCCACAGCAAGTTATCATTGTGGTAGCGATGTGCAACAGATTTTTTTACCCACTAGTCTGCGGTTTGCCTAACATCTAAAAACAAAACTTTGAGTTAAGTGTTCTCCACATCAAGACATTTTTAAATTATCTATCTGAAAGGACCATGGATTAACTGGTGGACAGTGCCCTCGCTCTTATTTTGAAGGTTCAAGTCATTGTTAACCAACCAGCCCTGGACTTTTTGTTTTTGTTTCACTTCTGTCAGACAAAGCCAGTCACTTCAGATGCCTCCCAAAGAGTCTTTGGTCCTGGGGTTGGTCAGCTCCAGTCCTGACCTGTTATGCTCTTGAGTTCACTGCAAGTTGAATGGCCACTCCATCCAGAAGTGGATGTATTTGCTGAGATAATTAAACATATTTATGTGTCCGAGCAATTTATTAATCATATTACTTAATCTTTAATTTAATAAAGGGTTAGTTTATCTCCATTTCCATTCACCCACACATGTGCACAGCATCCCCCAAAAAATGATTCAACTCTTTGGGAAACAGTGTCGTTAGTGTTTTTTAGACCTACTTCGATTCAATATTTTCACTTTTCAGTGATCTTTGTCAGTTTTTAGTTGCAGCAGAGTTTGGCTGAGGTACCAAAACTACTTGGTCAACTTTAGCAAAAGATAAGGTTTCAGGTTAATATAATCCAGTGTCCTCAATCATAGGTATAGAGACCAGTCAGCAACTCACCCGCACCTCTGGTGGCTAGGGAGAAATGTCTACTCCCCAACCAATTGTTTGTGATTGTTTTGGTCATGGAAGACACTAACTAATTGCTTTTTGAAACATGTTTGGTTGCATTGGTAAGGCACAACTTTTACGTTGACGAGAAAGTCTCACTACATCTTTTTGCAGACGCGGCACTGACCATTCAAACCACAGGCGACCATGCCGACCTGCTAGCAACCAAAGCAATTGCAAGGAGGTTTTCAGTGCAACACCTTATACTTATTTGTGATCTTTGTTGGGAAAGTTACTTTTAAAATGTATTCCACTACAGATTACAGAATACATGCCCCAAAACGTATTTTGTAACGTATTCCGTTACGTTACTCAATGAGAGTAACGTATTCTGAATACTTTGGATTACTTAATATATTATCATGCAGTTTACAACTACATGAATGTGATTTATTACTATTACTGAAGGTCCGCGGCTCTGAACCGTAGTAAAGGGACCTCTGGCTAATATGTCAGGTTCCATGTCGGGCTCGTAGTTGAAAAATAGCAGTGGTTATTATTATATTTACATGATACCAGCTCCTATTTCTGCTCGATGACAACTCGTACTTTTCCACTCTCCTTTTTCTCCCTCCTCGCGCTCACAGACACATAACGGGTATGGCAGTCCATTCTCCCTGCAGCACGGACTACACTGCCCATGAGGCTACATTCTTTAGGGCTATGTCTGTAGCATTCTGCCTATTAGCATAGCACAACAACAACAACAACAACAGTCTCTTTGCGACTGTGTGTTTCCTCTCACCCAGGAAACACACAGTCGCAAAGAGAGCGCGCGTCACCCTGTAACCATGGCAACCGTAACGCTGCCACCTGGAACAACAGAACATAGCTGTCAAACAAAACCCAAACAGGCCTGACCCGCGACAATATGAAACAGGAAAGTACCGCTGTGTAATCCATATATTTTAACAAAGTAACTGTATTCTAAATACCACCTTTTTAAACGGCAACAGTAACGGAATACAGTTACTCATATTTTGTATTTTAAATACGTAACGGCGGTACATGTATTCCGTTACTCCCCAACACTGTTTGTGATAGGTTTGCTCCAGCAACCCGTCTGTCCTGGGATTCACATTTTCCAAGAGAGACTGGAGGTTAGCGACTGGTCTCTAGGCACACAAAGCATTGAAGGGAAACTTCTCAAAAGTACCACTTTGCTTATTACAGCCTTACATAGCTGGTAGTCTGGGTGTGCCGTGTATATTCTATTGATGTTAGCATAGGGTGTTAGAATATGTTTAGCATGACAAATTTTTTGGACACATATATACTTCAGTTTGTAAGTTTCTCTTTCAGCACAGTAACCTCTGAACACTCGCTGCCTCCCATCTGTTGTCCCACTTAATGAATCACCCCCAGAGGAGTGCACAGCCTCAGGTGCTGTTTCCTGGTTTGAACCTTTGTTCGGTCATACCCTGCTTTCTTTAAAACCAACATTACTGCTTCATTAACAAATCATGTAACCAAAATCAGAGCTTCTCAACACACCTGCCGGAAGTTTTAGATTGTGTGAATGCTTGAAGGATTTTCAGGTGTGACCAGGTCAGATTATTGTATCACTCCAGTTCAGGAGAGTCATTTTCACTGCTTGTGGCTCCTTAATTAAAAAGCCATTGAGCTAACATCACTTCAGTTCAGATATATTTTCAAGTTAATTTGAGTGCTATGGAGACTATCCAGACTTTAGGTTTCTATGGTTACCTGCATCTGGATGTGGCCTAGTTATCGTGGTGACTCATGTACAGCAAGCCTTCAGTCCTTCAAACGACCCTCCTCTGCTTCCTCCCACTCCGTCTCCTCCTCATCCCCTCCTCCCAAGCTCTCGTTAACCTTAAGAAAAAGGCACACCTCCTCCAGCGTGCGCAGATGTGGCCAGATGTTGTGATATTCTGCTGCACTAAGCAGAACTTTGTGTTATAAAATTTTAAAATCCTTCAAGGCAAATACGCACGTGGGCTTTCCACAGATGACATGCATGATATCAGAATTCAGGGAGTGCCCAAATTGAATCATGCTGCAGCCACACACACACACACACACACACACACA